ACATGAAGCCCTTCTGAAGAAGGTACTGGAGCTTCCCTTTCTCACTCTTCCCTGGTCCCCTCTTTTGAGCTCAGGCAACACTTGACCTTGGTGGCATTTCATTTTTTCCTCTATAAAATCAACATGTACATTTTTCTTCCCTGCTTCACTGTTGTTCTAGATAAGGTATAAATCCATCTATCCTGTAGTGAATTGAGGTTTTTCCCCCCAAACCCTAGGAAAACTCAAACTTTTTATGTCTGCTACCTCCACTTTTTAAACATGAATTATGTTAATTTCCTGAAATTGCTGCTTCTGTCCACATTACAAAGTTTGAAGAGTTCTTTATAATTCTTTACAAGGCTCCTTAGAGCAATGTGGATAGGACTTAGAGCATGTGTTTTAATTACTTACAGTCCATAATATATAATGTTTCCATTTATTTATTTATTTATTTGTTTGTTTATTTACTTATTGCTGGGGATTGAACCCAGGGCCTTGCACACGCTAGACAAGCATACTCCAGGAACAGCTTGACAGTTGTTCCTCTCAGTCTCCTTTGCTGGCTCATCGTCTTCCTGACTTATTTTGAAGAGAGCCAGGGCTCAGTGTCTCACCTCTTCTATGTTTCTGTCTCCCTCCACTGGTGATTGTACCCACACCCATGCTTCAACTACCAACAGCACCCAATTTATAGCTTTGGTCTATGTCTCTCTCCCAAACTCCAGAGTTGTGCATCATTCTTTCTACTCAGCATCAACCATGGATGTCTAAGAGGTACTTCAAACTCAAAATATCCCAAATTGGACTCCTGATCATCTTTCTCCACCACTAGCATCCCAGCTCTACTGTCTTCCCTTTCTTAGTTAAGCTTGCAATAGTATTCTTCAGTTGCTCAGCACAAAAACTATGAAGTCAGCCTTAGCTACTTCATTTCCTCATATACCACATGCTATGCTCTTACCTTCAATTGTATCCAGATACTGGCCATCCTTACTACCTCCACTGCTACCACGCCATCTGATCCATCATCTCACCTTGCTTACCACAGTAAACCCTACTTCTGTCCTTGCCCTCCTATCATCTAGTCTAACAAAGAACAATTCTAAAGCTTCAGTCAAATCAAGTCATTGCTCTGCTCAACACCCTACAGTGTTACCCACTGCATTCTAGAATCTAGCCTTCCCAATGGCCTCCTCTTTCACCTCCTATCCAACCACTGTCCTCTCACCTCCTTCTCTCCAACCATACTGGTCCCTTTGCTGCTTATCTGACATGCAAAATATGCTGCTACCATGGGGAACTGCACCAGCTATAGCCACTGCCAACCACATTCTTTCCCCAAAACATCCACCTGGATGACTCCACTTCCTTCAAACTTTGGTGCTCACCTCTAAATCTCACCTCTAAATGATGTCTTTCCCAGGCACCCTATTTATACTGTCATCTTCCTCCAAACCCCCATGCAGTACCTTATAACATTATATAATCTGCTTATTTTTATGTTTAGTTTGTCTCTCCCTAACAGAAAGCAATTTCAATGAGGGCAGGGACCTTGTTTGCTTTGTTTACAGACACATTGTAAGAAAAACAATGCAAGGCACAGTAAATGTTTATTGTTTATTAAATGATGAGCCATGCCATATAGATTTACAAATCAATTGAATTAATGGAATAATCTCCAGAAAACTACTTTTGGAAAAAAGTCACCAATATTCATTACAAAAATACCTTAGCCTGAAACAAGGGGTCAACACACTCCCCACCGTTAAAGTCCAAGTTCTATATGGGTTAAGATGGTGATACAAATATCCCTTTGTCCAGCATGCTATCAGACGCTGCCATATCCCATCTCAGATATCATTATGCCCACTATACAAGTGAGAAGATGAGTCTCTGAATATTAAGTGCTTACCAAAGTCACACAGATAATCCTTTCTGGGAATGGGATTTGACTTAGAGCTTACATGCTCCATTCTTGCCATTATACCACCCTGTCTCCACACTGAAAAACTTTTCCTAGATTTATAAATAATTAGTTGCATGAGGAAATAGAATAGTGCATTGTTTCCTATTAAATTTCCCTACTACAGCTGAAGTTTGTCACGGACTACATTTGAAAACCTGGACCATAAACTCAATAGCACATACTCACACAGGTAAATTCTCCCCCTAGGCATGATGGGACAAATAGCACATACTCACACAGGTAAATTCTCCCCCTAGGCATGATGGGATAAAGCAAGTGGATGAGAGAAGAGCTGGCTTGCAAACACTGCCCTAAAAACCCTACAATTCTCTGAATTATAGGTAATACATCACCATCTCAGTCAATTCCTTCTGTCCCTTTCACCATAATGCATGGCACAACACTGAAATAAGTCATTTACTTGTATTTTTAAATATATATATTCATTATTTTTAAAACTTTGGGTATTGAACAGATATATTTTTAAACAACAATAAACATACTTTTTGTAGTAGGCAAAATAATGATCTCTCAAAGTTGTCTACATTCCAATCTCTAAAACTTGTGAATGCTACCTTATATGATAAAAGTATTCTGGATTATTACTCTGGATTACATTGGGCCCAATGTAATCACGACGGTGATTCCAAGATGGAGGCAATAGACTCATTCAGAGATGTGACAATGGAAGCATACACAACTGATGCTGATGCTGTTAGACTGCCATAAGCCAAGGAATGTATGACACCTCTAGAAAATGCAGGAATGTATTCTTCATGCAACTTTCCTACCAACACCTAGATGTTAGTCCCATTAAGACTTCTGACCTAATATATGTTTTGTTTTAAGCCACTAAGTTTGTGGTAATTTGCCAAAGCACCAATAGGAAACTCATTTGCCCTAGAAATGTGTGATCACAGAAATTCTGAAGTCTCCTGATATGACACATGTCCATTCTGCATTTAGCTGCACTGAGGAGGCTACCACCCAACTGAGAGCAAGGGAACTACAGAGAAGTCTCAATTTACTCCCCCATGTGACCTGACATCTAGTAAGGAATGTCTAAAAGGCATCAGACTCCCCTCTGCCCTGACCCTCCCTCCTTCACAGAGGTTGACAGTGTGCTAGAACTTGAGTTCCAGTATTGATGAAGATACCAAAGCTACACCAAGAAATCCTAGAAAGAAATAAAATTAGTCATTCTTTCAAGTTATCCATTCCCCTGATTGATGAAAACTGCCTGTGACAGGATCAGCTTACCTGGCATTTTTCAAAAGGGGGGAAAAAAGAGCCATAAAGGAACTTCAGATTGTGAGAATAGCTTTTAATTTAAAACAATCAAAGCAATAAATCATCCATCTCCCTTTCCACCACAGGCAAATACTTTCCCAAGACATCTGAGATAGTTTTAACAACTGTGACTAGTGCAAAATAAAATAAATACAAACTCTTTCAGGAACCAACATCAAAACATGCTGGGCAAGTAGGTACAGTCCACAGGCTCAGCCTCTGCCCACCTAAAAAGACGCGGAACATGAACAGCGGCAAGATTTGCACAGCAATTCAATACGCCCAGCTGTGAACAGACTCAACCACAAGAGAATGTTGCCTGAAGTGAAAGCAATTATGCCCAACACCCTCACGTGGCTAACATCCACGGCACCTGGAAGATGCTAGGAAAATAAGTACCAATGCCACAGCTCTTAGGCAAAGCTGAAGGAAGACAGGGGCTCACTTGCTTGTGTTTCTTAATTGGGGATATGTTTTAAGGCAGGAAAGTCTTCTGCTTTCTGGGAGGTGTTCTGTGCTTCATAGCACTCCTGACTCTAGCAAAAAAGTTTGTGTTGCTTGTGCCTACTTGGATGCTTCCAAGCACCTATGGTATTTTGCTGCCCACCTCACACCATAGAGCAGCACTAGCTAACAGAAATACAGCATCAGTCACATATACAATTTTAAATTTTTCAGTAGCCACATTAAAAACAGATTAAAAGTGGTGAAATCAATTTAAATACTTAATCAAATTCTTGTTTCATTTAATCAACGTATTCAATACGTAATCTATAATCAATATAAAAATTCGATGCAATATTTATATTCTTTTACAGTATGAAGGCTTCAAGATCAGGTGTGCATCTTATGTGAACTGCACAATTTCAGTGTGGATAGGCCAAATTCCAAGTAGTCACTTGCTGCATGTGGCCAGGAATCTAAGTGAACAGTGCAAGTCTAGAGAATCTTATGTAAACTCCTTCAGGGCCATTTGCAGAGCAGGAAATCTCCATGACACTGTGCAGGCAATCTTATACACCAGCTTAAGGGCAGAACCGTGTCTGTCACCTGGGAAGTTTTTTACATAAAGGAAAGTGTCACATTTTTATCTAATCCCATCCCCTGTCACTTCCCCACAGACAGACTGGACTGACGATGAGGTTTAGCAACAGTGATGGCTACAGGATGACAAAGACATCCTTTCTGGTATAGACAACTTTTCAGCACTTATTTGGGGATCATAACTGTCTGTAACTGAATCACAATTTTAAAATAGTCTACAATTGTTGCAGGCTTAGCTGAAGGCAGTTCTAGGATTTTCCAAAAGGGTGTTTTAAATCAAATTTTTTGTTGTTGTTTTTGCTTTTGAGAGGGAAGGTAGCAAAGTACCTCATAGACTGGAAAGTTTTAAGCCTCAGTGTGGTGGTTGGGGGGAAATGGGATTATTCCAAAAGAAAGTAAATGGAGTAGGAACAGAAATGAGCTGGGGACACTAAAAATACACAGGCCCTGCACTGAGGTGTATAAACTGCAATAATCCAAAACCTTAACATCTAAACCTCTACATAAGCCCCATACCTTACATGTCTGGTTCTGGCAGGAATCACAGGAAAATAAAAATAGAATCAGATGCTAGGGAAGGGACTTCTGAGCTACTAACCCACTTGTTAACAACAGGAGAATGGCAGGCACATTCTCTCGTAGGTTGGAGAAAACAAGCTAGTCAATTCCAAAATACTGAAGCAACATTGATGTAAAATGTCATAAAATGTTATTCTTCCAATAGTCTTTTCTGCATTTTTTTTTTCGTTTACAAGACAAAATTCCATCTGAACCAAACTGGATTTCTGAATTGTTATTTGGGTGTTTAGACCAATTGACAAAATTAAAACTTTGATACATTACATTTTCCAAAGACACATTCATTGAGATTCTACACAAATGGATATCAAAAGATATTTACAAGAAGAAAGCGCTGTCTTTCACAGACACCTACACATAGTGAGAATTTCACAATTATACCACCATGCCTCACACAGAGGACTCCTAACAGGCTGTTCAGCTGACACAACCCACACACTAGTTCAGTTTTCAGTCACAAGTAATCCCATCTATACACATGTGTAAAATTAAGCAGTACATTTCAGACTTCTATTCCAGGGAACCCTCCTTTGTATCTATTAGAAAACACATATAAATACATTTTTAAGCAAGAAAGAAATCCATTGTTTGCTCCAGTTTTTCCCAATTCTCAATCTGAAAGAAGGAATAGCACATATACAAAACTTTGCCTTGTAGAAATAGCCCTTTGTTTTGTGAGGCAGAAAAAAAAAAGCAGCCATAGTATACCTTCTTACAATATGTTTAGGCATCAAAAGGGCTAAATTGCTTTTTCTACCTAGTGAAATTAAATAATTTATAGCCTATAGTCTTAAATGCAGATTTTACACCATTGATTTTGCAAAGTTTTGTTATAAAATTTTACTTTTGTTCAAAATACACATGCTATCTTTGTGCACAATTCAATCCAAACCCCCTCTATGATCCCCTACCCTCCTCTGGTAAAAAGGTCTTTGCTTTGTAACATGGTTGCAAACAAGCCATTTCTGATAGACGTTTCAAGTCATTATTCTGATACTCATCCAGAAGGGGACTGGATTTTGTAAGGCTGCTTAGAGTGGAGATTTCCACCAGGGTCAGGGACTTTACGAAACAGAGTGGGACTGCTTTAGGATCTCTGAGTCAACACTAGAAGGCAACACCAGTGGGCACTGTGTAGCAGAGGATTACTGCACCATGAGCTCTCTGCTTCTGCCAATCTCATTTGTTCCCAAATTGAAGAAAACATCAGATGAGAGAAAGCAGGGAGTATACTCTACTGGGACCCACCATGGCACCCACCCTCTACTCTATGAAGGCTCATCCTATCAGATGTCTCTGTAGCCTCAAAGCATGACTGGAAAGAGACAGTAGGTGTCAACACACCACTGCACAGGTGAGTAGAGTGAGGTACAGGGAGGATGAGGGACTTGCCCAAGGTCCACAGTCAATTAGGGACAGCACCCAGATCTCTAGGCAACGGTCTCAGGCTCCATGACCCTACTCACATGGCATATACGATCTCCTGTGAGACAAGAGCCCCAGTCATAAACAGAATCCTGACTTCAGATCTCACCAAATCCTATCCAATGTCTCTGGTTAATTTCTCTCAATTGGTTCTGCTTTATTTTCCTACAGTATCTAGAAAGATCTTTTCAATAAAATGAGTACATGTCAAGAGGATAGCAATAAATCCTTTTTCATTTGACTAAAAATCTAAAATAGAAACTTTGGAGACTAGAATTTGGTGCAAAGCAGTAGGAAAATTATAGCACTCTATCGTTCTACTTTATATCACATTTGAAACTCTTATTCCCAGTTGCAATTAAAATACTGAAATAACCAAAATATGGAGAGAATGTTCTTAGTGATATCATATAAGTTTCTTTGCATCTGAATCCTTAAAGTGCCAAAAATTGCACTGTTGGTCACAGCAGATAAGCTGTGAAGTCAAGTTAGGAGATAATAAGCCAAAAAAGGGCAAAGATGAGACTAGTCCCAGAAAAACACAGAAATGAAGGCAGACAAAAGGCTCAGAGGCAAGAAAACAATAGATAAATTTGGGGCATTTAACTTGATTCCAGGAAGCTGGGAAGTTATCACATGGTATAATAAGAAAAGATTATTTACCTAAAAAAAGAAAAAGTAAAGTAAGAAAGAAAAAACAACAGCAAGAACACTGTACCCTTTGGGGGAACGGCTATTGAGAAAGAGAGACTCCATCTACCTTTGGCAAAGGACAAAATTATACTGCTGTGGGTATTAGCAAAATACCCTCAAATGGCAAAAACCCAAGTGATCTCTTGACAGCACTGAAAGGGGTTAACTCAGCCCTTTTTACTCCTTAAAATCGAAGCATCGAAGCAGGGAACGAATTTTTAAACTGTTCCTGAGTTAGAGTTTTGTTAAAATATTTACTTGTCTTTTCCAGATACGCTTAATACCAACTATTTAGCCTTTAAAAAACAACCATCACAGATTTTTCTAGTGGACTATAAAGGTCACACACTCACGCTCACTCTCACACACATTCACACAATTGTGTTATGAATTTTGATATGATTTAAATTAAAAATATCTTTCAATGCAGATGTTCTATGATACATGGATAGGTCAGACATGACTGTGCATAATGAAAAAAAATTATGCCACAAATAAAGCCCAGCCCAGCTGCTGATTTTCTATTTGAAACAAAAGTGGGCTTTTTGTTTATTGTTAGGTGAGGCCACACCACTGGCTACACTGATTGATTTCTCTGGAGGCCGCTACCACTGACCCCCAAAGAAAAATAGTGGGCTGGAAACACTTCCCCATTTTTGATGTGATGATGGCAGATGCCACATCAGCAATATGAATTCCTTTGTTTTTAGCTCCCTCTCCTTGAACATTTATAAAAACTATCTACAATAGAGTATCATTGCTAATAGAAATTTTTTTCCAGTTCAGTTTCAGAAGGCGTCAAATGATCACGCTCTTTAAATAAACTACATATACCCCATGTGTTCCTTCATGTCTGGCTGTCCCAACTTTTTTTCTTTTTTTTTTGTTTTTGTTTTTTTGTTTTTGGCAAATTAAAAAGGTGTATGGCTTCTTCTCGCCAATTCCTGTCTGAGGTTTAGCTTGGTATCCTGCGGTAAAAATACATGTAGCCCAGGTCTTTAGGAGGCCTTTCTGAGGCACAAACCTTGTGGTCATTGTAGATCACCCATCTGAAAACAAAAGATAGAAGAATTTAATGGATTTACGTCAGTTCCTGGGCACTTTACAGAAAGAAGTTACTGCATCACATAGAGCACAAAACTTAAAATAACCAAGACATTTTAAGACAACCCAACTCCAACTTGTATGAAAAGAAATAGAATATTGGTGCGGAATCACCAGTGCCTTTTGATTCTTGAGCTTAAGCAAAACATAATTATTAAAATGTATCTGGGGCTGGGAGTGTGGCTCATGTGGTAGGGTACAGGCCTAGCAAAAGCGAAGCCCTGAGTTCAAACCCCAGCACTGCCAAAAATTAATTCATTAATCAATATGAGTAAAATCTGGATGCTCCAAACATTTTAAACCCTACATTCTGTAATCCCCTTTGTAGAAATTCATAGAGAGACTCAAAAACTGAGTCAAAGAATTACATATATAATCTGTATTATTCAAGCGTTAGGTATAGAACTAGCTAAAAATCAGAAGTAAACATCCCTGCAGTGAATTATTATACAATTACTAAAATTACTTCAAACAATAGTAGGTGCAATAATAAAATAATTGCAACATAATATGGAGACATAATATAAATCAATATAATATGAAAAACATTTAAAAATCATATGTAACATGCACATATTTTAAGATTTTAAGATAGCTGTAAATACATATGTAGTATGTATATAGACAGACATATATACCCTTCTCCAATGAGACCAATAAAAAAAAGAAAAATACATCAAAATGTAGACAATGTTTATTTGCCTTTTTGCTTCCAATAGTACATATTCTTTGCATGTTTTGTATTTTACAAATTTGTTACATTGAATTTTATCATTTTTAATTATAATTAAGCTATTCTTCATTTTAAAAGAAACTGCCAAGCTTGGCAATAAAAACAAGCCACTCTAAATACAAGTCCCTATGCCTATGATTCTATTAATCAAGTTGAGAAAATAAAACTAAAGACACACCAAAAGAGAGAACACAGTTGAATCTGGATAGGAACAGGATGGTCCTGCAGTGGGAGGTGTGGTGAGAGGCCAACACCGTACCATGGGAGGCCAAGCATGTGTGTTGCTACAGCATCCACCTAGCCTAAGCACCACCTTGCAGGCTGCAGTTAAGAGCTGGAGGAGGGGCACCTGGGGAGAAGATTGTGAAGATAGCAGCAACCTTCTATACCATAACTTTTCTGCTTCACAGCACACCTAATAATTCTACTCAAGAAACCAACTGCAGGGCTGCAATACAGCAAAAGCAATGAAGGTTTAGGGTTGCCAGAAATATAAGTTGCCCAGTTAAATTTGAGTATCTTATAAGCAAAAATGATTTGTTAATATAAGGCTGGGTATGGTGGCTCTTGCCTGTTTTCTTAGCTACTGAAGAGAGGATCCCAGTTCAAGGCCAGCCCAGGCAAAAAGTTAGTGAGTTCCCATCTCAACAAACAGGCATAGTGGGTGCCTGTAATTCCAGCTGCAGGGGAGGGGTTGGTAGGAAGATAGTGGTCTGAAAAATAACTGAAGCTAAAAGGGCTGAAAGCATGGCTCAAGTAGCAGAGTACTTTCCTAGCAAGTCGCAATACCAATGACAACAAAAAAATTAACATTAGTATGCCCAATGAAATATTTGGAATATGAACAATTTGAAACATAGTTATACTACAAAGTATAAATATGTTTTGTTAGCTAAATATGATAATCCTATAGTGGTTCCAAATTGAGCATACATTCTGCTACAAGATCCATCGTTGTTTTGGGGAAGTCACCTTGGTATAATGGTTATAAGTGACTTTGAATACCATTCCTAACAACTACTTACCACCTATCAGCTTTCTGAGACTCAGTGGCTAGATGTATAATATGGTTTTAAGAATATACTCCTACAAGACCAAAGTGAGAATGAAAGAGGTAACATACAAAACACCCTACTAGAGAGGCTGGCACATAGTAAGGGCTCAATAAATCATACTCCATAATTTATCTTCTAGGAAAGACTCACCTTCCTTCCTTTTTGATATGGCAAACATAATGGCCACTCATTGTAGATGTTCCCATGTGACTGATAAATGCAAATAATTCATACACTATGAAAGAAGAAATAATTATTAGGCATTCTAGAATCAAGAGCACTTCAGATCAGAATTTAAAATCAACAACAGTGTGAGCCAGCAACTATCTAGATTTGAAAAACAGTCAATTTACACTCACACACATACACACACACACACACACACACACACACAAAGTAATAGCAGATCCCACCTGCAAATTCAAGGTAACAAAACAGGATATTAACAATCAAAGCACAGATGGTGTTCAATTTGAATCTGAAGGTGGGATTAACATTCTCACAGCCCAATCTGGTAGCAAGCTTGTGAGTCTAAAAGAGTTAGTCTTGGCTCTATCACCTCCTAACAGCATAAGGGTGACAAGTTGTTTCATCTCTCTGAGCCTGTTTCTATATGAAGACAAAAAACAAACAAAAATAAAAACCACCACCCATTTTGCAGGGTTGTGTAAGACTTACATGAGTAATTCAGACTCAAATACAAACAGGATTGTGAAGAAAACAGAAAATATTTGTTATGATTTATAGAAAGGAATTGTGCTTCACACAAGATGTCTGACTTACTTGTGATTTCAACTTACATGGAATCAAACTTCAGGCTTCATGCTTGCTAACAAAGACATATGTAGCCAAGTATGACCCATGTTTATTCTCTGGCAAGTACCTCCCCCCATCAAGCACAGTATGTCATTATCAAATCCCTGTTGAATCAATCTCAGTTCATGTTCCTGCCACTAATCCTAGACCTACACAACACAAACTGGGCTCCATGGACTAGTCCACTCAGCAAACTGCTAGAGACAATGATGAGACAGTATAGAAATTGATAGTAACCTTTACAAATTAAGTGGACTTATATATTTTTCTAGCACTCGATTTTTATTACATTTTCTCCCAAAAAGGTACAAGTTCTTACCCTTGTCTTTCTCATTCTTTGTCTTTGCTTTCCTCCCATGCTCATTCACTTACATGGTCATCAATCCCCAGTCCTCATCTCGCTCACCCTTCAGCAGCATCATACCCTATTGCTCAAATCCTTCTTCCTCAAATACTTGTCCCCAGGATATGACTCACCTAGCTGTCCAGCTGCCTCATTGGTGTTCCCTCATCTTTCAATATTGATGATCTTTGGCTTAGAAATCAGACATCCTCCTCCCCATTCAGAGCTCTTCTCTCCCTCTGTCTGGATGGTTCCACCCAGGCTCATTTCCAGAATATTTATTGCTCATATATAGAATAAAAATTGGTTGGGCGTGGTGGTGGATGCTTATAATCCTAGTACTTGGGAAGCTGAGACAGGAGGATCATGAGTTAAAGGCCAGTCTGGGCTACATAGCATGACACTGTCTCAAAAAACCAAACCCAACCAACCAAACAACAAAACTCTGAATTTTGTATATTGATCTTGTTTCCTACAACCTTGTCATACCCACTTACTAGTTCTAAGTCCTTTAAATGGATTTCTTAGGATTTTCTATATGTAAGATCATATCCGCTGCAAAAAAGAGATAGTTCTACTTATTTCTTGACAAACTGGATGCCTTTTTCTTCTTTTTTTCTGCTTAATTGCATTGGTTAGAACCCCCTGAACAATGTTAAGTAGAAATGACAAGGAGACATTCTTCCCTTGTTCCTGCTCTTATGATGAAAGCATTCTCTTTCATAGTAAGTATTGTGTAAGTTGTGGTTGTTTGCTTCTGTAGGTATCTTTTACCAAGTTAGGAAGTTCCCTTCCACTCCTACTTTGTTGAGCAGAGAGACTGCTCAACCTGATCTGTCTCATCTAAGAACAATTTCATGCATTCAGTAACTCAACACAAAAATCTTGATTTCTCTCTCATAGTCTTTATACCCATCCAATCTATCAGTATTTCCTTCAAAATAGATCCAGAACACAACTACTTCTAACCTTCTTCACTAGTAACCCTTGATCCAAGTCACAATCATCTCTTATCTGAATTATTTACAGAAAAGATTCTTAACTGTACTCACTATCTACTCCATGCTATTCTCAGTCTGGCTTTCAGAGAGTCATTTTTTTAAATGGAAATCAAGTGTGGTCATAGTTCTGCTAAAAACCCTCCAGTGGCTTCCTCACAGTAATGTCTTGTGCTTGCAACAGCCCATAAGATCCTCCACCTTCTTCCCATTCTCCTCCTTACTTCACTCCAGCCACTCTGGCTCCTGGCTGCCCCTTAAACACACCGAGCATGCTCTGCTCTTTTACCCATTGTGCATTATGATTATTTCTATCTGAAACTCTTTCAGGTATCACATGACTCACCTTTCACTTCATCAAGGCCTCATGTCATGTCACTTCATCATAAAAGTTACCTTATAAAATCCAATAAAATCCCTTCTACCCCCACCCCATTCTTGTGGTTCCCTGTCCCCTTGTCCTGTTCTACTGTCCACATAGCATACCACCTGCCACGTCACATACTTCCTGTGCATTTATTTATTGTCTATTTCCTTTTAGACCAGACTAGAATATAACTGAAAAAAGACATGCAGGATTTTTTTTTGTTTACTTAAATATTCCAGGCACAGAAGAGAACTTTGCATGTGATAGGCACTGAATAAGTGTTTGTTGAATTAATAATAAATAAGTGAATAAAGGAATGGCTCCCTTTACTCTATTTCCTCACTTGTTTTTATACCTTTTTATGCTATATATATATATTTTAATAAAAATTATGCTTATATAAATAAATATTTATAAACCATTTACCAAAGTATAAATTTGGGTATAAACTAGTGAAATTATTTAATCAAAAAATTAATCAGTTCTGCCTGGAAGCAGGGGATTGGGTGGGTGGGGTGGGAGGTGGCACAAACAATGTATACACATGTAAGTAAATGTAAAAGTGATAAAATAAAAGCAGAAAAAAATCAGAGGGATTGCCTTGCCCATCCTTAACTAAGCTTCTATTGTTAACTATCACATCACCTAACAGAAAATATCCCAGGTTCAAAATGAGAAGCCAGGTAAAAACAGCCATGAATGACAATCATTATGCCTGGCACTTATTTTTCAAAAACAGTAATCTAGGGATCTTCTGCCTTACCCCTACTGCAATAACCAGAAAAGGCTGTGGGCTAAGACCATTCCTTAACTCCAGTTGATTTTTAAGTCCTTTCAAAAGAATTCTACACCAATTCTAAATCTTCAACTTGAGAGATACAGTGCTGCTCTCCCAAAATGAATCTCTACCAATCTTCACAAAATGAAGAGAAGATATAATGACCCAATGAAGGCTTTTTTCCTCCAAGAAACTGTTCCCCAAGTCAATGACTTCATCAGTTTAAGAGTATGTAATGAGCACTTGTCACCATAAGCCAGGGTCACATCAATAACACGTTACTCAGACACTCACAAAGCCAGTGGATTAACAAAACAGACATAGAGAACAGGACAAATCCAGAACTTCCCAGTACATCCATACGATAAGCCCCAAAAGCATTTTCTCCTCTTCTGGTTAGGAACAATTTATGTGTATACTCAGAATCATAAAAATAAAATTTAAAGGTTTAGCACAAACCTTAGTTTCATAATTAAAGTTGGAAGTGTTTATCAACACAAGTAACTTCCCCATGCATTATTCAAGACCTCCTGCTAGGAACCCACACAGATGACAGAATCTCTCTGAACACATTTGCAAAAATGAAACAGGTAAGAGGTGCCAATTTATATTTATTTCCAAAAAGAAAGACAAGATGAATAAACCAGCAAGGGAAGCTGTTGCTGATTCTTCTCCAAGTTCCCAGTTCTCCTTCCAAAACAGCACACTTTAAAAAAAAAAAAATGTAAAACTCCTTCTTATGTAGATAGAAAAGGCAGTTTGAAGTAAGATTAACATTTCAAAAATGTTGACTTTCAACAGAGAAGCCTATAATGTACCTAGAACAGATAGATGTGTGTCTGACTAACCACTACAGCCCACATCTAGTGAAGTGTCCCTCTAAACAGCTAGAATTAAACTGCGTCTGAAACTAGCATTCCACCTTCCCATAAAATCTGTGCTTTTTGAAAGAAAATCTTCCTAACCTTTCTAATAATGAAAATTTTTCATATCACATTTTACCATCATCATCTCCACCCAACATAATAGCAACTGCACTCTGATTTCATTCTTTGAGATAGCTATTTTGAAAAATTCCAAGAAACTTTGGAGGTAAAAGAGGTAGATGGCATTTCAATGTCATTGGGAGTAAAAACCACACAAAGATCATCCATGTCAGGGACTGGTCAATGACCCACTGGTAGAAGTAGAACCACAGTCTGTTTTTGTTCTGATGAGAAGAAGGAAGGAAGAAGACTGAAAACAGACATGTATACAGCTCACAAAACCTGAGAAAACTATCTGACCTTTTAGAGAAAAGGTTTATTGTTCCCTGGTCTAGGGGGATGAACTTGGGTCATCTCACTGCTTACCATTGGTTGAATGTCCCAAACTTAAGCTGTTACTTAATAATTTAAAGATTTTTGTCTGACAAAAATACAAAAATAAATTCTACCCAGTAGCACACATAACTTCAAGGCTATAAGGTCTTTATAGACCTTAAGTACAATTTGTGTATCCCAGCAAGTTCATCCTGATGTTTGTTAAATCATCTTTAAATATCCTAGCTTCTCAGATATTTTTAAATCAGTAGTAACATGTGACTGGTTCTTTCATTCATGAGTTAATAGAAAATCTGTGATAAATTTACTTGAAAGTCATAAGTTTGCCTTTTTGAAATCATGTTTTAACAACACATAATGACCAAACGCAACTCTAGATTCAAGAGTACTTTCACATGAATTCGTTTTCATAACCATTATAACATCTACATATACTTACCAAGTGGTAGTATCACAATTGATACCAAGGGAAAACCTGAATAAACTCTCTAACTTTACTTGCTTTTACTTGTTTTTATAACCAATTCTATAAAACTGATCACAAAGCTAAGCAATATATTCCCATTATCTTTGCTATAGGTAATACCTTTGACATTTGAGTGACAATAGTAATAAATGCTTGAGGTTGTCATTCTGGAAGTTGGAGGCCTATCTCAAATTAGTTGAAACCATGGACCCTTTGAGATAATCAGGGACTTCTGTGACTGGACAAAGGGCGGGTGCACTCCCATGCCCTGTTACCCATTAAAGTGAAGTACTCCTTCACTTTCCCAAACAATCTTACTGGCCTTAGAAATCAGGCACATCATAAGAGCCAGGATTCCTTTGCCAGAATGTCTCCAAGGATAAACTAGTGAGGGAATGAAACCATTGGGAATCACCATGAAAGGACAGAAGGCAAATGCCCAAGCCTTTAACCTGTCACCCATCAGAAGCATGGCATGTTTTCTTCCACACCCAGATTGTCATATTGCACAGCAGGCAAAGCAGCCTCATTCAGGAACAGTGAGAGCTCAGAACAGAGGCATCTAAAGACACCTGAAACTAACCATCAAGATCCCAAGAGCCTCTGTGAGACAACCTGGGTTTCCTAACTCGAATAGTTTGTATCTTTAAGTGTCCCTAACTCTCTCTGTAAATAATCCCTAGTTTATGAACACCTTATACGCCTTGTATCTGTAAATAATCCCTAGTTTATGAACACCTTATACGCCCTGTATCTGTAAATAATCCCTAGTTTATGAACACCTTATACGCCTTGTATCTGTAAATAATCCCTAGTTTATGAACACCTTATACGCCTTGTATCTG